AAACCTGGTGGAGTAGCCACAAAGCGCTGGGCTTCAAGCACGTGAACGTCCTCAAGTCTAATCGGAAGGACCGTCCAACCGAGGTCGTACTTCCGGACTCGATGATATGCTTGGCTGGTGCAAATGTGCGTACTCGACTGACGCAATCTCAATGTCAATATTCCGCTAATCTGTATTTCTGAACCCAGGCTTACACCGCTCTTCAAGCCTGGCAAACCGGTGTTTACATTCCCGCCCCCGAGTTCAGCCAGGGCCGTCTTGAGAGTACCTACCAAAGTCTCATCGCCGTCATGGAAGAACAACGCACTAAGTCACCGAAGATTTTTAACAAGCTGATGCACGATCTATACTTAGCCGTGGCGTACGTCTTGAGCCTCTGCTTGCTAAGTTACACCAACTAATACGTCATGCGCTAGGAAATCACCTTCTGGCCCGTCAACGGCGTCTGGCTCAGCTAACAATGTGATCTCGCTTGCTATTGATAGTGATTGATACTTACGTTGTGTTCTTCGTCGTACCGTCTCTAAACTATGTTACTTTGATACCAAAATTGAATTTACTTGCGCCTCCTGCGGTGTTCTGAGCCAATATAATGGAGATATATGAAATAATTTCTGGCAATTGCTATGAAAGTTTGCGCGCAACCTTGGCTGAAATTTGTCGAAAAGTACGTATAATTTAGGTATTTTTGCCGGAGGTAACATATTTTGCCAAAATTGTGATCATTCATAAAATTCCAGCAATTTTCTCGCAATTCCAAGAGAAATAGTCAAAATTTTCTGTGGGGGGTTTCCCTGATGTTGTACAGCAAAGAGCTGTAACGAGCTAACCCAAACTGCTAACCTCTAACTGCTAACCAGCTAACCCGAACCTAACCGGCCAATCTCGGCAAGCTGTTGATACCCATCACTCCGTGATGTGCCGAGGAGTCGCCGCTTGACAAGTTCGGGATACTGACTTACAAACTTTCACAAATTCCCATCAAAGTTACAGAGTTTCGCTTGGCTCTGTTGGTAGGCATATTTTTACGCTGGTCTCGATATGTATCCATCCGCTTGAACAAGTAATAGTGGTCCATCGGTCAGTGTCCCTCACAGCTGCTCCGGATTCATCTCAGTTGATATCCAGGCGGTTTCGATGTCGGCGTGCACATCAGCGAAGAAGCAAAAAATGCCAGCGTGGCAGTTCCTTGGGCTATTATTTCTGTGACGGCGATAGGGTGTATTCTCGGGTTTGCGATTCAAATATCGATTACATTTTGCATGGGCCAAGACTCAATCTCCATCCTTTCGGATCCAGTGCAGGAGCCCATGGCTACGGTTTGGGCTGTCAATTTCCGCCGCTCGAGTCCGCATTTAACCGCTGTATTGTAGATTCTTTTGAACAGCTTTGGAAAACGAGGAATGTTGGCGATCTTGTCGTTTATATTAATCGCCCTGTGTGCCATTTATCGATTGATCTTCTCCCTGTCCTCAATCTATGCTTCCAAGCTATATGGCACGCTTGGCGTTGTCGGTCAATATGTGGCCAATTCTATTCCGATCGCCGCCAGATTGCTCGGTGGCCAACCATTCAAGAAAGGCCCCTTCAACCTGGGCATTCTTGTGCGTCGTCAAACTAGCGCTACCCTCGAGCGGCGGGCTAATCAGACCATGTTATAGATCAGAGCACGCCGGTGGCAGTAATTGCTGTACTTTGGATGTGGTTCATGACGGTGGTGTTGATGTTCCCTTCAGCACCGGCCCTGTTGCGGCAACCATGAACTATACTGTGGTAGTCATGGGCGGTGCCCCCTTCCTCGCTGTCGGGTATTATTACTTCCCGCACTACGGCGGTAGAAACTGGTTCACAGGGCCCGTTTCCAATGCTCAGGCGGATATTCCTGAGGGTGACTCGGCGACGGAAGAGAAAGACAACGAAATAATAATGTGTCGGTGAAGGGGGCTTGGCTTCAAATAAAAGGCATGTAGTACACAGTGGAGCCATATAAGAGGCCCATCGTCCACTTAATGGGATTGTTGTTGCCCGTCTCCAGTCTTTACATCACGGAAGGGACATGGAGATTCGAATTTACAAGAAAAGCAGGTTGCAGAACGGCAAATATTAATGGCGAGCTTTCTTGGGAAGGGTGGGTGTAGCTCGCTTTTGTCGGAGCGCGTGCGGCTTTCAAACATTTGATGTTGCGGCCCTCCCACGCAGGAGAAAAAAACTCGAGAGCGCGTCAAGCAACCCTGCACCCGCATCCGAATTTATCTCAAGTGAACTTCATCTTCGTCTCTGCGTTTCAACATCTGGTTCGGCCCATTTTTCACTGGTCAACCCAGCATAGAAATTATTTAACAGTTGTCAATAGATAACCTGAGGTCCAGGGCCAGAACGCAGCGGGCTCATTACCACCTGGTTTAAACGAAGTCTGAGATCATCTGCGATCACTAGTCCCGCGCGTTCAATTCTTGTGGAGCGCGCTTCATGACACAGACCCAGGTAATGGGGCATAGGCTTTGCGAAAGTTGGTAGCTTGCAGCATCCGCGTCCGAATTCAGTTCTTGGAGATTTTTTGACCCAGATTCTCATTGAACATCGTGCAGGAACACCGGCAGTCGACTCGGCTGAAGTGTCCGAGCCGGAATTGCACAGAAATTCTGTAATTCAAATTGCACAACGCTTGCCTTATTTCCACGGGGAAAATATCCAAGGTTCATTGGCAGTGCCTGAGTTCTAAAGAGGACGAAATGAACATGATGTAGAACCAAAAGAAAAGCTGGCCTACTTCAAAGCCGACTCTTCTCCAGAAGTTGCACCTCATAATGTTCTAAAATGTCTGCATCAAATCCGTCCTCTCGCAACTTTGCCATTCCGATCACCAAGGCATCGGGGGGAGACTAAAAAGAATAGCTGCCCTCAAAGACACGGAGGCGTGATAAACGACACGAAGAACTCGATTCTGGTTGAAAACGGGACCTAATCATAGCAAAGAGGGAATGATGAGGGAATAGATCTCGGGTGGCGGGTTGAGAAGGGACGCGAGCGTCGACGGTAATGGTCCGCATTTTATGCAGAATTGGGACATGCTGCGTATTGCATGAGTGATTCATTATCCAACGGCCGGATCCACGTACCTATCGACTCAATTGTGGTGGAGCCGCCGTGGAGGAGGGAAAGAGGATGTTTATTGGCAAGGCAAGGTGAGGCCAAACAATCCCGGCCTGCAGCCAGCTGCAGCCAAACATAGCTTGTCTTGCATGAAAAAGATTGACAAATTCACAGCGAGGAAGTGTGCAACAGGAAATTCGAGAGGATTAGGTACATGCAAATGATATATCCCCCAAAATAAAGTGAGGAGGTCAGATTTTGTCGTGGATTGCAAGTTATAATCAAATTCCGCTCTCTCCGGCCACAAACGCAGGAAATCCAGGGGATCCCCCAGACTAACCCGCACCCGCACCCGCACCCGCCCCCACCGGCCCGCGTGCAGCCCGACGGTGCCCGAGTCGTACGACACATCCCACTAAATTCTCAATGAAGGAATGGGAGGCCCTACCACACTTTCCCTTTTTAGGCTCCGTCACAGGCGAAAGAAAAGCAAGCTTAAAGGCAGGACAGGAGTGGAGGGAGAGGAAGGAGGAAAGGAAAGAGTGGGATGATGAAGAAGAGAGGGAAAAGAAGCACGCACCCAACCCCCAAAAGATAGGATGGGTAAGAAAAGGCCCGCCACATCCGCTGAGGAGATTGTGCCTTTGAGCGGGGGGCTGTGAAACGGGTCAGCAAGCCATTCACGGAGAAGGAGGAAGGAGAGGGGAGAACCAAAAGGGAGCAGGAATTGGGAGTGAGGACCCCCTGTTCGACTGGGGGACGGAAGGGAAGGGAAGCCCGGGAAGAGTGAAAAAGAGGGGAGTACGAGCCCGGGCGCCTAGCCCACGCGTCCTCAAAGATCGAAGTCGAGAGGGAGGGAAGCAGGGGAGAGAATAGAAAGGAAAGTGACGGAGGGAAAGACGGATGAGACACGCAGCGGGTGCACCTGTTCTTTTGAGTCTTAAGCATGCGGCTGCGAGGATGGGTGTCAGTAAGGTTTTCATGGAGAAAAGGAAGAATAAACGAGCCAAACTCGGAAAGCAAGAGCCCTCTGCGCTCGGGGGAAGATGTGAATAAGGGGAAGCCTGGGAAGAGCAAAGACAGAGGGAGAGAGTACGAGCGCACGTATGTACGCCTGCTCGCTATCACCCTCTACTCGACCTCGACGGTAGGAGCCCCACTAGCGCTTCCTCCTTCGGCCCGCTCACAAAGCTCAGCGCACCACGAATGCCCTCACCCCACATACCTTGTAAACCGCAACCCGCCGACGGCGCGCGTCGCGCACGTCTTCTTGTCTTGGTGCTTGTCCGGGCCGTCGCCTCGCTGATCGTGACTGCTGACATTCTGAGACACGTTAGCTTGGTCTTCGTCCCGCTCGTCGCGCCCATGGCTGCTTGCGGTCTTTCTACGCCTCTCCCGCTCTCCGAGCCTCTTCGAAGGTCTTGCGACGATCGAATTCGCCTCCAAATGGGGAACGGTGGGGATACTGGGGCCACGTTCAGGCTACAGGTTATGTCTTAGGTCCAGCGAATGCTCGTACAAGTTCCAAGACACCGAGAATGAAGCAGAAAACGACCAGGTCGTGTGACGAAAGAGGAAAACGAAGTGCACTGCCACCTGGAGATACCAGGGCCGTATCCATCCGCGGCAGAGACCTCCGCCAAGTATCCCCGTTGCATCTTCATTGCACGCCGCCATCGCCCACCCACTGCTGGCTCCGCATCGCTTCAAGACGCCTTCCGCTCGCAGAGTCTTGGTGCAAGATTGGCTTCAAACGGCACCCGGTAGAACGTTCGTGTCTTTATAGATTTTTGCTGCGATTGCTTTGGCTAAACTCCGCCCCTCTGACACTCCCCAGAGATTGACGGCGAGACTCAATTCCATGTCCAATCTCGAAGTCATGGCGGACACACGAACTCCCCAAGTATTCGGACGTGGTGTATGGTACACGTCGAGCTTTCTTAGAGGCCTTGGGATGAAACGCGTAGCTCGCATTCTGGGGTTCGACTCCCCACGTCCGAATCCTTCATTTTCTTGTATTCCCTTTTATTTTTTCCCTCGCGATATATATGTATATTAGGATTTTATATGAGCTAACACACGACACAGATAATAACCTCGGGACTCGGGCACATTAACTGTTCAGGTACCACCGGGTTTCCAATTTATTGCGGGTTCGTTAGCCCTGTTTCGTTCGCTTGTTTAAAGAAACCTTATTTTAAATTTTTTCAATAACTTCGCCCAGATGACCAACGAAAATAATCGGGTGTGGTGTACGACGAGAGATACCCTCGGGCGAAACGCTGTTCAAGTAATATTTCGCATCATCCAGATTTATTCGGGTGCGTTGTTGTCCCTATTTCGTTCCCTAATTCAAACAAACCTTCTTACTCAATAACTTCGCCCAGATGACCAGCAAAAATAATCGGGTGTGGTGTAAGGTACACATCGAGTTCTTGTAAAGAAGTAGCTCGTGGTACGGCGTTCGACTCCCCGCGTCCGAATATTGCGGTCCATCTTGGATTTACTCTTTTGCCCTTCCCTCCGTAACATCTTTTTGTGAACCGCGCGAATATATCGCTTCAGTTTTTTTTGTTCACGCCCACATTCCGCTGGTCACGGTAAATACTTAAGTAAGCAACGCGGTTGAAGTAGGATTTCGTCAAAACGTATCCCTGGTGTGTTCCTTCTGTTCTTCAAGTTCACTTCCTGCTTCAAGTCACATTGCTGAGCTTCACAAAGGAATAAACAATCCAAGAAGTTGAGCGAGGCTTCTTGCGTTGATGACAAGATCAACTGTGCACAGGCTCGAATCCCCGTCTACGAATCGTTTACCATTCACAACTCGGGTGAAAATTGCGAACCACCGCGTGTCACGGTCCAGCCGATCTTGGGTGTGTTCGTCTTCCTCGCTGCGTTTCAACTTTCTGGGTTCCTCACGCAGCTCACACAGGACGTAGCTCGTGGTTCTGAGTTCGACTCTCCGTGTATCTCGAACATCGAACAACTGAATAATAAACATGGCAAGGAATCGAGCGTGGACCGTGTGGTGTACAGAACACACCATAGGAACGAATCGGGTGTGGCTTCAAATTCTTGAGAAGATATCGGGTTCGACCTCTCGCATCCGAATTGAAGGGATGCCATATGGTCTTTGGTTGATGTAACACGTGAACGTGTACTCAGTCTCTCCTTTCTGTTCCAACCTATTCTTACTCATTAACCTTTAGGTCGAGAAAAAAGGTAAAATACTCGGGCGTAGTGTATCGAACACATTGTGATTCGGCGTTGTAGCTGGAAATCTGGGGTTCGACTCCCATTCGTCCCAATAGAACGTACATCGATGGACCTTTTTTCTCCCGGCGGGGCCTGTTTCTGTCGACACCGCAATTTACAGAAAGGCGCCTTGCGCTACGCGGAAGCACCTTTCTGTAAGGTAGGTTTTTTCCCTCTTCTTCCGTCCTTCCATTTTTTCATTGGCTGAACCTTTAGGTTTAGCTACCCAGGGGAACTTCGGTTTCGATCCATTTTTCTAACATGCACAAACAATATTTAGTCATACAACATTGGTCATGGCAAAAATAATTTTTAAAGAAATGGGACAAGACCTAGGAATAAATCAAAATGCAAAGCTATGTTTTTCAACTTCTTACCTGCTTGAATCCTCTTGCTCGATCCGTTTCATTGCCTGGAACCAAAGATATGCTCTGAGTTCAATTTTGGCGGTTAGTCATTTCTGCTTTGTGTTCGGGCCAGTATCCGAGATTAGTCATTTCAGCTTATCGATCGTAGCCTGGAAGTTCGAGTTGGGTTTGAGTTGGGCCAGCCTGAGTTCTAGAATACCGTACCATTTCGACCATAGGTGTGACCTGTTACCACTTAGATTCACCTTTTGCTAGATTCAACCTGAGTTGACCGTAATTTTTATCATTCAATCTTGATTCAATTTTACCATTGCTTTACCCGCTGACACAGGATATTCCGGTCAGGTACCTGTTCGATTGCAAATTTCCCTGGTTTTCGTTGAATCCCCGATTAAATTAGGCTACGAGCTGCAGAGAGCTCAAAGGAAGAAATTGCAAACTTGCTTCCCCAAGCCTGTATGGCAAATTTCAAGGATTCGTGTTGTTTAGAGAAAAAAAAAATCAGTTCCAGGAGTCTCTGTGAGTGGGTTTGAACCCAGATAACATCTCAGCCCATTTGAAACGTTGATATCGGCTTGATGTCGGCCCAAGATTCAGTTCACAAGTCGAAGCCTGACTCAAGGGTCTAACCATTTAGTTTTTATTTGCAGACGCGGGAAAATCAAGCAGAAAGGGTATATGAATGTTAACAAACCTTTTACATAACACAGTTTATAAATGGTATGTTGGTGGGCAGGTTCTTTAGGTGGATCTGGAGGATCAGACTGAGTTAAAAGTCCCAGATAAGATCCTAACCCCCAAAACCGTTTACAAACAGCTTTCAAACTGTTTGCGCTGACCCACAAACTAAGTCGACATAAAACCGGTTTTAATCGTTTCAAAATGTTCTCAAATGGAAATGATGGAGCCTTGGCCTGAGCAGTGCACAACCCACAAAAGAACTCTTCAAAACAATATATTCAAGAGTAAAGCCGTTTGAGAATGGAATAAGCTCCCCCTCCCTCTGTAGACGGGCACCAGCATGCAAAACTTATGTGTATTAGAGAATGGTTGGTGGTATTCCACTTTGTGTAAAACACTGTGCTCATCCAACCCAATTATTTTAAGCTCTTCCAAGTGTTGAACCTAAAGTTGGTGTAGTGGGGATTTTGTGAAAGTGTAGACCCCCTTGACCTAAAGGTTCAGCACCCGCCTCGAAGAGGCCCAATCCCAAGTCATACGAAAATGTGTGATACATGAAGTACGTAGATGTGTTCAGAATGCATAATTGCTATCTCGGTAACTGGTGTGATCCTTATCTTGTCAGTGTCAGGGACTGATCCGGCGGAGTTTGAATAAATGATTTGCGTCCATCTTTTTCTTGTCATTTCAATCCGAAAGAGATAAGATATCAATCACGCACGACTTGAACGTCTAACTTAGGTTACCGAGACAGTGATGGCAGGTTGCTGCGGCAGCTGGCACCGGCGGAAAGGGACCCCCGAAGATTAATTAAGCTGTTCGGAGATATGCGAGACTCTCGAGACCGCCAGCTCCATATGAATGTAAGATCTCGAGTGGAGGCATGCATCCAAGACAGAGGCAAGCATTCTTTTTAAAAAGTGTGGAGGGTGTGTTGAAACTTTGAGTTGGCCATTGCTGGTGAAAGAAGGCCTAAGATGTGCAGGCGCCGCGGCCAAAGCTCATCAAGTGCCATTTATCACGGCATCTGACAGTCCGGCGCTTAAGAGGATTTATATAAGTCCATCATCCTCATTCTCTCATCGTGTTTCAATCACTTTAACCCTCAACCCTCAAGTAATTGTACAGATGGTAGAAACTGCGGCTGTAAGCACATGTCCGGTTCATGTACTCCAGCTGGACTGACTTAAAAGCAGGACACACCTAATGTTGATAATGTTGACTTGGGGAGTCAATTGGTCTGTGGGACCTTGAACACCTCAGCGGCCGGGATTACCGTGAGTGCATAAATTTGGGTTCTCAAAGTAATGACATTAACTTGAAACAGGGGGCAAATTGTGGTGGGTTGTTGGAAGAAATTACTGTGAGCTCTGAAGAAAACAATGTGGAGGGCTTGGTGAGCAAAAGAATGAGTGGAAGTTACTAGAAGGCTGAAGTTGTTTTATAGAACTCAGGAAATCTGGAAACCATACGAATACAACAGCTTGAGAACCAGACACATCAAGGAGCAAATTTTGGACAAACATATGAGGAATCTTGGAACTTGAATGACCTAGAAGCGTCTGTGAAACACTTCAAGGCAGTACTGAACATGGCACCCAAAGGACACCCAGATCGAGCCAATGCATTAAAAAACTTGGGGGTGGCACTTGCATATCGGTATCAGAGGGTTGGAGACCTGCAGGACCTTGAGGCTGCACTGCAGGTTGATCAGGAGGCAGTGCAATTGACTCCATCTGGGCATCCTGATCGAGCAGGTCGATTCCAAAATCTTGCTGTCTTATTCACAGATCGACTTCGGAGGCTAGGAGATCTGAAGAACCTTGAGCCTGCACTCCAGGCAAATCAGGGGGCAGTTAAGCTCACTCTACATAAACATCCTGAACGAGCAAGGCAACTACATAATCTTGCTATATCATTCAGAGATCGCTATCGGAGGCTACGAGATCTCAAGGACCTTGAGGCTGCACTTCAGGCAGATCAGGAGGCAGTGGACTTGACTCCATCTGGACATCTTGATCGACCAGGTAGATTGGAAAATCTTGCTGCCTCATTTGGCGATCAATTTCAGAGGCTGGGAGACCTGAAGGACCTCGAGGCTGCACTCCAGGCAGATCAGGAGGCAGTGGAATTGACTCCATCTGGACATCCTGAACAAGCAGGTCGATTGGAAAATCTTGCCTCCTCATTTGGCAATCGATTTCGGAGACTGGGGGATCTAAAGGACCTTGAGGCTGCAGTGCAGGGATTCCAAGACACAGTTGAGCTCACTCCACCTAGACATCCTGAACGAGCAAGGCGACTACACAGTCTTGCTACCTCATTCAGAGATCGCTATCAGAGACTACAAGATCCCAAAGACCTTGAGGCTGCACTCCAGGCAAATCAGGAGGCAGTGGAATTGACGCCATCTGGACATCCTGATCAAGCAGCTCGATTGCAAAGTCTTGCTGCCTCATTCAGCTATCGATTTCGGAGACTGGGAGATCTGAAGGACCTTGAGGCTGCACACCAGGCAGTTCAGGACACAGTGGAATTGACTCCATCTGGACATCCTGATCGAGCAACTCCACTACACAATGTTGCTCTATCATTCAGTGATCGCTATTGGAGGCTAGGAGACCTGAAGGACCTCGAGGCTGCATTCCAGGCAGCTCAGGAGGCAGTGGAATTGACTCCATCTGGACATCCTGATCG